TAAATGACTGGAGGAGTGGCGTAAAATCCACGGGAAATCGGATCTTGTTTGCGCGGTGTTCAAGTTAGCGGGGTTCCACTGTGTTCTACATTCAGATCTACCACGAGTTGTAAGAAAAACAATCGGCATCCATCATACAAAGCATCGCACAATGAATAACAAGCGATAATGGGGAGTTTCCGTACACCTTGACTTGTATGTGCTTAAAATGTTTTATGCTTTCGTGATATGTGATTATTGTTAATCACTGGTACTTAAATTGCTCCAAAAATAGACATTGTTTTGTCTTCTAAGAGGTGTCCGCCAGTTTCTCTTTGAATACATTAACTATGTGACCTAAACTGATTGAAAAGACTTACCGTCTAAAATGTCTTCGCTTCGATTTCGCTTATCAAACTTTTTCTTCCCACGTTTAGGAAACTAATCATTTTTACGATTCGATCTAATCTCTATTGAGCGTAGAGCTGAACACCCGCGGCTAGGTTCAAAGATCATGATTTTCAAATGCCCCACTTCAAATCATAATCTCTGAACCTAAACATTGCCACTTGCCAAAAACATCAAATAGAACTGCCTTTGAACGTTTCTTTCAATCAAACTATAATGAAGGGGGCAATTACTGGGCCAGAAAAAGTCACCTGAGTGACTATCGAAATTTCGGGCAAACAGTAAAAATACGAGCGACGGAGATGAAAAGTTTCTCAATTAATATCTTCCAACTCCTCTGGTTTGGACTTTCTACGCCACATCTACAAAAATCCCTCGTATGAATGAATAAATCACTTTATTTCATTAAAATGAAATAATCAGTTAAGCGGTCGTGCAATCTAAGCAAAATATAGTCCAAAAGGTATATGAAAACTATGTTAACATGTACAATGAGTATAATTATTAATAACAGGTTAAAACCCTTAAAATATATTCAGTTATTTTCCATGTGTTTAATAATGTTTAAGGTGTGATCGAAATATGCTTTGTAATTGCCGAGTTTAAATAACAGACCGGGTTGAATTTGTTTGAGTTATTAGCCGCTGATTCCTTACTC